AAGGAGGAAATAAACCACTAAATAGGGGAGAAAGATATAAAAAAATTATGGATATGAAAATGTATATATATATTTTATTTTTAGCACGCGCCTGTAATTCCAGCTACTTGGAAGGCTGAGACGGAAGGATCGCCGGAACCCAGCAGGTCGAGGCTGCGGTGGCCGGGAGCGGCCACTGCACTCCAATATGGGCGACGGAGTGAGACTCCAACTCAAAAAAAAAAAACAACAAAAAATCATATGTGACTTTTGTGTTCGGCTTCTTTTACTTGACATTGTGCTTTCTAGATTCGCTGCATTCAGTATTTAGTAGTACATGCATTAATTCCATTTTATAATCAATATTTTTTATTATGATGTTGTGGGGTACAGTTAAGGGTTAGGTATACAAATACGTTTCATTCAGGTACCCTATTGATAAGAGGTGCTTCCCCATCCCCAGAAAGATATTTGCTACCGTTAATCCCATCTCCCTCCCCCATAGTTTCCCACTACTGTCAGTCATTTTCTTATAGTATTAGGTTGGATGTTCAAGGTCCATTATATGAGTGAGAACATGTGATACTCGGACCTTTGTTTTTGTGAGAGGTCACTCAGTATTATAGACTCTAGTTCCATCCAGGTTGCTGCGAAATTCATGATTTTGTTCTTTTTTATGGCTGCGTAGTATTCCATTGTGTATATGTACCACATTTAAAAAATCCAGTCCTCTTTTGATGGGCAGCATGGTTGCTTCCAGGTTCTTGCTATTACGAACAATGCTGCGATAAACATACATGTCCAGATATCTTTTTTATAGAGTGATTTGAGTTCTTCTGGATATATTCCCAGTAGGGGGATTGCGGGGTCATATGGGAGGTTGATATTTAAAGCTTTTAGGAATCACCACACTGCTTTCCACAGAGGTTGCACTAGTTTACACTCCCACCCACAGTGTAGAAGTGTTCCCTTTTCGCTACACCCTCTCCAGCAGCTGTTATTTTTTGAGTTGTTGATAATTGCCATTCTGGCTGGAGTTAGGTGGTATCTCAGTGTGGTTTTGATTTGCATCTCCCTGATGATTAGTGAGGTTGAACATTTCTTCACGTCTGTTGGCTGCTCGGACGTCTTCCTTTGTGAAGTGTCTGTTCATATCTTTTGCCCATTTTATAATGGGGTTGTTTGTTTTTTCTTTTCAGCATGTTTGAGTTCCTTGTAGATCAAAGATGTTAATCCTTTAGTAAATGGTGCTGGGAAAACTGGCTGACCACATGCAGAAGATTGAAACAGGACCCCTAACTATCCCCATGCACAAAGGTTAACTCCAAATGGATCAGAGACCTAAATGTAAAACCTCAAACCATTAGAACCTTAGAAAATGAAGGACATACCCTCATGGAAATCGGAACTGGCCTCCAATTCCTGAACAAAACCCAAAACCCACATATCATGAGAGAGAGGATAGACAAGTGGGACCTTATTAAACTGACAAGCTTCTGCAAAGCCAAAGACACCATCAAGAGAGCAGGGAGACAGCCTACAGACTGGGAAAAAGTATTTGCCAACACCAGGTCAGACAAAGGCTTAACATCTTTGAAAATGTATTTTTAATAAAGTTTATAAAGAAGAATGCTTTTACATTAGTAAAGATTTGATTCTGAGATGAGAACTTCCTCCTTCAACTTATTTGTTAGTTCCTATAATCTTTTCCTCTGAATCTAACTGCTTTTGAGGTCTGATGCTAAAATGCTTAGAAAAGCAATATTTTTTCAAGTATGTCTTGGACATTTGGCTTTTTTGATATGTCTAAATTGTTCCATGAAACCGCAACACTTCTCATGCTGTTATTTGGAGACATTTATTGCCCTATTTTAAGAGACAAGTCTTCTAGTTTCTTGTCTCATTTATGGTCCTGGACACACTGTTTCTGTGTCTTATTAATTCAAGTACCCTTTTCATCAAGCTTGCCTTTCAGGTTTTCTTTTCCTTTTTTTGGAGTCTCACTCTGTTGCCCAGGCTGGAGTGCAGCGGCACACTCACATCCATGGCAGCCTCGACCTGCTAGGCTCAGGAGATCCTTCCATCTCAGCTTTCCGAGTAGCTAGGATTACAGGCGCGTGCTACCATGCCCAGCTTATTTTTTTATTTATTGTAGAGACAAGGTCTTATCACGTTGTCCAGGCTGGTCTCGAACTCCTGAGCTTGGGTAATCCTCTCACCTTGGCCTCCCAAAGTGCTGAGATTACAGGCCTGAGCCACTGCACCTGGCCTTCAGGTTTTCTAAATGGGCTCCCCATTGGAGAAACAACTACATTGTAGAAGGTCTTTGTCTCTTAAGTAAATGGTCTAATGTCAGACTTTACGTTTTATCAAAATAATTCTTATGTTAGTGCCATTAGGATTTTTTGGGTTGTTTAGGAAAACTGTAGCTTTCTGTATTGCTTTTAAATTTTTTGATTATTGTTTTGAGTCAATGAATAAGTATTATTTTGCAATGATCTGTGACTATGGTTTGATCAAACGTTCTGAGCCTTTTTTGATAAGTATCCTATTAACTAATCCTTGTGCTGTTACTTTTCTAGTCGGCTAAAACCTTGAGCTTTGGTTCCTGTGTCTGGACCCTTGTGTCAGAATAACAGGATTTTCTTGGAGCACTAATTTGGTCTATAGTAGAAAATTATAAAAGGTTATAAAAAGTTTATAGAAATCTTACCTTATGACCAAATTAATTCACAGATTTGTTTATAATATCTTATTAAAATCAGCTTTAACATTAATAATACACTATATAAATGTAAAATTTGGTTTTCTCTTCTGAACAAATTTTCATGTAAAATTAATAAGAGATAATAAAAGACTTGTTCACTTTTGTTAGTAATCTCAGGGCGGGGGAAGAAGAGACAGACTTGTTAGGCTCATGCTATCTTCACTAGGTCTTATGGTTTGAAAACATGGAGTCTCCTCTCTATCAGAGAATAAAGGTTTGTGGCTTTTAAAAATGTTTATCAAGCTAAATAAATGACTATTATAGTGACCTGTGATCTTGAATGTTTTAAAATATTTGATATTTGACAAACTTTGAGTATTAAAATTTTGGGTTCTAAATTCAGTCTTTCTGACATTGTGAAACGTTTTTTGTTTGTTTGTTTTTGATTCAGAGTCTTACTCTGTCACCCAGCCTAGAGTGCAGAGGCACACTCACGGCCACTGCAGACTTGACCTGCTGGGCTCAGGTGATCCTTCTGTTTCAGTCTTCCAAGTAGCTGGAACTACAGGCGTGTGCCACCATGCCTAGTTAATTTTTTGATTTATTGTAGAGACAAGGTCTTGCCAAGTTGTCCAGGCTGGTCTCAAACTCCTGGGCTCAGGCAATCCTCTTACCTCTGCCTCCCAAAGTGCTGGGATTACATGCGTGAGCCACCGCACCTGGCTTAAAACATTTTTTGATATTAGGTTTCCTGAAGTCCAAGAGAGATATATTTGACTTATTTGATAGGTTAGAATCATACAGGAGGCACTATCAAATATGAAAGGATGCTTGTTATATCATGTTATTAGTCTAATATTGCACGAAATCCCTGTAATTCCAGTATGTTGAAGTATGTTACCAGTAACAATTAGGATTATGTCAAACTGTTTTTTGCCACAACAATAATCAAATTCCTTTGTCAATTGTGTCTTGATCAGATTTAAGACTTTTATCATCCACAATTATTGTTTTATTTTAATTCTTTTAAGAAATGTTTTTACTTGAAATCCTTTATAACCAGCTATAGAACTCTGACAGGTGCTCCTCACTGCAGGTTTCTGATAACTTGGAGATTGTGCCATTAGACCAGGAAAAATCCTAGGACTCGTATCAAAGAACTGATGTGTTCATGAAGATTGCTGACCCAATACTGAGAAAAACAGGAGTTAATGGTATGCACCGAACTAATAGAAGATTAGTACAAGACTAAAATAATTTAGAAACTGTGAGTATTGATTTATGACAACATAGTTATTTGCATAAGTTCAAAAAGAATCTGTTTTATAACAGAATATAATTGGAGACACTGGCTATTTTACCAAGAGAAAATAACGATCACATGCAGCATCAGCTACTCAATGACACAAATCCTAAGAATCAGATGCTTTACCAAGGTGTAGTACGTATCATGATGAGGAGACATTTCCTTCAGCAAGCAAATGTTTCTGGCTTCCTCTGCAACTCAAAATAGTTAATACCCTCCCAAGTGATCTGTGTGTTCCAGATGTAGAGCAGCAGAAGAGATAATGTAGAAAGTGCAAGGAGGCCGGGTGCGGTGGCTTAAGCTTGTAATCCCAGCACTTTGGGATGCTGAAGTGAGAGGATTGCCCAAGTCCACACGTTTGAGAATAGCCCGGGCAACTTGGTGAGTCCTCATCTCTACAATAAATCAAAAAATTAGCCAGGCACGGTAGTGCTTACCTGTAGTTCCGGCTATTTGGAACACTGAGGTGGAAGGACCACCTAAGTCCAGCAGGTCGACGCTGGGGTGGCCATGAGCGTGCCACTGCACTCCAGCTTGGGTGATGGAGTGAGACTTCAACTCAAAAAAAAAAAAAAAAAAAAGGGCAAGGTAAACCACCACTCCACTGTAAGAGGAACTGGAGAAAGATTCCAAGAGGTTATGTTCAGTAGTGGAACAATAACAAAAGCAGTCTTTCTAGATATTGCAGACTTTAAATGGATATATTCTATTCTGTTTACCAAGCAACCTTTATAGTCTATAAAAGCTTTCAGGTATTCTGGATAGTTCTACTCATTTGATGACAATCACGCTACCACGTAAATCACTATAATTTAATAAACCAGTATACTGGTTCATCAGTCTTTTGCTTAACTGACAATCAATCCCTAAAAGTTTATCCATTCCTGTGTGAGATGGTATATCTGGCAATTCAGTAATAGGAAAAGTTGATCCAATCCCACAATCAACTGCCAAAGAAAGAAATATCTAATCACAAAAATGCCATAATTAATTACAGATAGCGAATGAGTTTTAAAGAATCATCTCCTAGATAAACTTTAATAGAAATTTTGAAGAGTTATGGAAAATAAAAATACCCTTAATGACTGGGTCAACAATAGAACATGACAACAGCATTAAAAATTTCTGTATGTACACACATGCATATCACAAGTCTACTTAGAAAGGAATACATAGAAAAACAGGAGAGAATTTTAAAAACTAATCTGCAGTGGAGCACTTAATACTGTATCCATTCTAAAATATCATCTTTCTTTAGAAAACTTTAAGACTAGAATGCCAGATTTTTCCTGCACTGCTGTAATTACTGCAAATTTATCAGCAAAGAGGTAAATAGCAACATAATTTTTCCTTAAGCTCGAACATCAGGGAACAAAAAAACAGATCAAAAACCTCATTTGACGTGATCTAATTAAAAGTCACTTCAGTGATATTCAGTACAGCTCCGGTCTCCAGGAAGATTTCCAGAACAGGTTTGTATCATTTGGTCCATCCCCAACAGGTTGGATAGGATAGTCTGCAGTAATTGTCAGAATACCACCTTTTATTCTGGGCTGCTTGACTGCCATTTGGCTTCACATTCCAAGAGTATCTCCTGTGTGAATAGTCCTCTCTAGGGGGACCAGGAGGAGGAATACAGCTTCTCTGGTAAACATTCTGATTCTGTGAAAATTTTCTTAAGGCAAAACAAAAAGTAACACACTATTACTGGGATTAATAAAATATATAAACTTTATAAAATATTACATAGATATTCTGGTTCTACTGTTTTATAACTGTGTGATCTTAGCAAATAATTACTTAATCTTTATATCACTTAGTTCTTTATAAAATGGAGCTAATAATACTTTCCATCTTCATTAGCTGTTATGAAGCTAAATTAAGACAGCACATTTCAATTATGTACCTACAATGCCCTGGCACACAGTAGGGTCCCAGAAGCCTTTCCATCCTTCCCTATAATGCATACCCATACTATTCTTACTCTCTTAGTCTGGCAAAGTTGACGTAAGACAGACTTAGCTATTTAGAATAGAAAACAGAGCTGTTTCCACTTTATAAATAAATAAATAAATATATATACACACACACACACACATATATATATATACATTATTTACAAAGTGTAGAAAAATTTTAACCATGATATCTGCAACAAATTTTGAAAATCAGGATTCAAATTTAGTTGTTTCAAAAGCATGATCAGGTAATCTAATACAACTATACAAAAAATAATTTAGATACCTGAGGACAAAAAATAAATCTCCCCAAAACCCTCAATCCTACCTACTCTAATTCAACTGTGGTATTTCCTTTTGTTTTTTCCCTCCTAGCATCTTTTTTTTTTGACTGTTGAATCATAGCCTGTTATTTTTGCTTATCATAAGTGGGCTACCATTTACTTTTAATGGCTTTATAAAATGTTATAGTATGGCTATAACTATTACTTAGCTATATTCTCCACTGTTACCAGTTTTTCCATTACCACAAATAATGCTGAGATTAACATTTCAGATCATATACTACTGTAACTTGAGCTAGCCCAGTGTCTAACACACAGTAGGGAATTTGGGAAATGCGGTGAATGATTGAATGCGTATGGTTTTTTTCTATATTTTGAAGGAGTTGCTTAGTCTCAATATGGAATTACCAGGTATGAGCATTTTCATGGCTATTAAAATTGTGCATCAAAAGGGTTATACCAATTTTCTTTTTTTTTTAAATTGAAAATATAGTTTATTTAGAAAGTAAATTAGGGAGAGAGAAGAGAGAGGAGATTCACCTCCCCAAGGTAGGGAAGGAGGCCAAAGCTTAGGAAACATGGTGGCAGCTATAGCTCAAAGAGCACATGCCATGGCCTGGCCAGTGCCTAGCAAAGCAATGGCCAGGTTATACCAATTTTCAATGCCACTAACAACATATTTTTTAAATGTTTGTCTAAATCTTTAAAAATATCTTTAAAAACAACTTTTTGAAAGCATTTACAATGTGCCAAACTGCTTTAACTCATGTTAATTGTCTACAACAATCCTTATTGGGGTAATGTATTAATTAAAATCTCTGACTGATGAGAAAACAGAAATGTAGAGAGGCTAAGTATCTAACCCAAGATCACACAGCTGTCATCAGAATGACAGACCCAAGATGTAAATCCAGATCCAGCCTGACAACCACTACACTGGAGTGCTTATTAAAAACTGTTACTAAATAAATAGGCAAAAAATAACATCTTGCTGTTTGTGATGGTTAATTTTAGGTGTCAACTTGACTGGATTAAGAGATATTCGGTAGCTGGTAAAGCATGATTTCTGGTGTGCTTGTGAGGGTGTTTCTGGAGGATATTGGCATGTGAATGGGTGGACTAAGTGGAAAGATCCTCTCTCAATGTGGGAAGGCACCATCCAATTGGGTAGGAGCCTGGACAGAACAAAAGATAGAGGAAAGGCAAATTGTCTGCTCTCTCTCCTGGAACTGAAACTTCCTTCCTTCTCCTACCCTTGATATCAGAACTCCAAGTTCTCTAGCCTTTTGGACTCTAGGACTTACACTCATTTCCCTCTCACCCTTCCTAGATTCTCAGGCTTTCATCCTTGGATTGAAAGTCACACCATTGGCTTCCTGGTTCTGAGGCTTTCTGATGTGGACTGAACCATGCTACAAGCTTCCTTGATTCTCCAGCTTGCAGACAGACTAGAACTTCTTAGCCTCCATAACCATGTGAGCTAATTCCCCTAATAAAAAAGTCCCTTTTCATCCATCCGTACATTTCTACAATTGATTCTGTCATTCTGAAAACCCATACTAATACACTATTTTTAGCCACACTAAAGATTTAGACAAACATTTATTTTTCTAAGTAAAAATAATTTTTTGATTTATCTGTTTAAATCATTTACAAATTTCTCTATTAGGATTTTTATTATTTTTCTTATAATTTATATTTACACTTTACACAACAACCTTCTTTATTCTGAAAACTATACCATAATTAATGTAGCCTAAGAATGCAAAATCCTTTTTGGTAACCACATCAAACTCTTGGCTTAAACTAAGTTGAAACAATCAATGAAAATTTTTAAGTCTCTTTCACAATTGCCTCTGAAAAGTCACGTTTCCCATCCTGTACTTGATTTTCCAGTGCTAAATGCAAAAATATGGAGCAGAATGGTACATCCTGGCTGAAACTGATCAGTAAGAAAATACTAATTCTCATCAACAAGGGTACCTGCATGATCAATGTTTATATACCTAACCCTGAATTCTGCATGATTATCATAATGTTTTCACTTAATTTATAAGTCCTTTCTTCCTTCTTTCTTTCTTTTTTTTTTACGAGACAAGGATTCATTCTGTCACCCTGGCTGGTCTCAAACCCGTGGACTCAAGCAATCCTCCTGCCTTAGCCTCCAAGTCCTAGGATGATAGGCATGAGCCACCATACCTAGAATTAGTATGAATTTCTATTTTAATTCTAGAAAAAGGGAAAGCAGAGAGAGGTACCTGACTGACTGTTGCAAATTTGAGGTCTGGGTGTGGAAATGCTGAGAAGGAGTTGGGTAACCCCGGATCCGATGTAGGTTATACCTAGAGCCTTGTTTAACAGACATGTTCATGGTGTGGACTGGCTCCATGAGATGTGCTGAGTCTTCAAAATGACTTGACCTGGATACAGTGGAATTCCGATTCCTCAAAGAGAATATTTCCATATAGTATTACTGGTTTCCAAATTTAGTAGTGAATTTAGTGACTATATTTGGCCTATGCAAATAACGATTTCTTTCTTCCCCCATTCCTATCGATCTAGGTCTTTCCCAACAAGTAAACAAGCTACCAGAAGAATGGATATACTCAAATTACATAGAGATCTCTGTAATCACAAATCTCACATATAAAATGCAAGACTTACTTTCTGATAGGGCCATTATGAAGGTCTTCAATGTAGTTTTGTCTTTCTAAGCAATGTCCCCGGCACCTATTGAATACTAAGGATTGGATAAACTGTTAGAAATAACTATACAAAAAGCAAATCTTTCCCAGAGAAAGAAAGTCAAAGCTGAAATTCACTAAATAATTATTCAGGCTGTTATATCTGCTTCCATATACATCTATAAACTTTTGGCAAGATGATCATATATTGGAACATATGAATTACAAACTTTTTTTTCAAACTTTGAGAGATTCATCTACATTTCCACCTTTAACTTTTATAAAAAGGGAAAAATAGTGACAACCCTCATACTTACATTCAATTGCATCATCTGGCCTCATGCCTTCTACATCAATCAAATATCTAACAAAACAACATAATTTGGGTCATTTATATATACGAAAAGAAAAAAAATCAAGTTTTTTCAAAAAAGGTCCAATTTCACTTACAAATGTAGATATAAAAATTCTAAGAAAATATTAGTATATCTAATCCAACAATTATTAAAGAATGACATACCATGACCACAAAAAAGACTTTATTTCAAGAATGCAAGGATGACCCAACTTTAGAAAATCTATTTATTTACATGAATAAAATAACTAATAAAGAAAAGAAATGAAAATACAGGACTAAACTGGTAGGCATTAAGAAGGTATTTGATAAAATTCAGGTCATTTTTTTTCAAAATGCTTTATACACTAAAAACAGGAGATGTCTTTAATGTGACAGAGTATTTACCAGAAACCAACAACAAACAAAAAAGAAAAACTGGGAAACACATTAACATTATATCTAACAAATACTAATATAACCAACTGTATGGGCCAGAAACTTACGAGTCACCACCACTGTCAGGAATTTCTTCCTTACTCTCATCTCCAACCTACCATCAACTCCTGACAACAATATTACCTGAATATCCTCTAAAATATGGCTACATCTTTCCACCAAAATGATCACAACCCTGTTCCAATCTACTATTATTTCCCAATATCTACAAAAGCATCCTAACTTGTCGACTTGCTTCTACCTCTTTTCCTTTGCAGTGTATTCTCCACCCAGTAGCAGGATAAGTTGAAAATGCAAATTTGATTATGTTCTCCACACTCACCTCAAACAAAAGAAGATCAATAGTTTTCTATTGTTCTTAAGATAAAAGCTAAAACCTTAAACAAAGCTCTGCATGATTTAGCTCCTAATCACATTTCCAGTTCCACTTAATGCCACATTTCCCCCATGGCTCACAGCCTCCCTGGACAGTTCTTCCAACACAGTATAAATTTTCCTGTTATAGTGTCTTTGCTGTTCCTTATGTTCAAAATTCTCTCTACAATGGCCCTACCTGGTTAATAACTATGCATACTTCAGATATTTGCTCAAACCTCCCCACAGAAACATCTAGCCCTCTTGATGAGGTCAAATCCTATTATATGCTCTCATTGTACCAAGTCCCTCTCTTTCTTAGCACTCCTCAAAACTGTAAATCTATATTCATTTGTGTGATTCTTTAATATTTACTCCCTCTAGACTAGACAGTTAGGATTCACAAAGGGCGAGAAGTCTCTTTGCTAACAACCAGTACAGTGCCTACACATAACAGATGCTCAATAAATATTTTCTGAATGAACAAACATGAATGTAGCACAGTGTAGCAACATCCACAAAAAGCATAAGGATGCATATTGATTCAAAAGTTCCATTTTGAATGAAGTTATCTATGGGACAAATAGTACATGTATTCAAAAATGTTCATATAGAAATGTTCATTACTTCAGGCCAGGAGCTTTGGTTCAAGCCTGTAATCCCAGCACTTTGGAAGGCCAGGGTGAGGGGATTGCCTGAGCCCAGGGGTTCGAGACCAGCCTGGGCAACTTGGCGAGATCTCATCTCTACAATAAATCAAAAAATTAGCCAGGCATGGTAGCATGTGCCTGTAGTTCTGGCTACTTACAAGGCTGAGGTGGAAGAATAGCCTGAACCCAGCACGTTGACACTGGGGTGCCTGTGAGTGTGCCACTGCACTCCAGCCTGGGCATCAGAGTGAGACTCTGACTCGGGGAAAAAAAAAAAGAAATGTTCACTACTTCAATGTTTTATAATATCAAAAACTTGTGACTTTTATGTTCATCATAAGGAACAAAGCAGCCTTTAAAAAGAATGAGGTATCTAAGTACTTCCATAGAAAGATGTCTATCACATATTAAATTAAAAACCAGAATGTCTATTATAACATGAAATTACATACATATGCTTACATCTGCATTTTTAAAGTCTGAAGAGATATACACTAAATTATTAATGATAGTAATCTCTGGGTAGGGGATAAGATTGCTTTCTACTTCATACATTTCTATATTGATGGCATTTTTTCCAACAAGCTTACATTATTGTTGTAGACAGACAAAAACTTTGAAATGGTCTGCCTCTGGGGTTGGCAACTTACCTGCAGATAAGGTAGCCAGTCCTGTTTAAACCATGGGTACAGTGGACGCCAATAAGTTTGTCTATAAAAAGGAAATATAGAGTTAAGTAACTGAAGTAGATACACTAAAAAGAACACTTGTAAGAGTAATCCTTGTAAGTTACCACAACATTACCACTCACCTGAAAAGGAATAATTCTGAAGAGCAATGTGGTTTTTAGCAAAAACCTATAAGAATTATCTAACAGAAAACTAAAACTCATTGTCTCTGGGACATTTTGCATAGCCCCAATTAGTCTCAATGATGTAAACTGCAGAAGACCTGGTCAAGTACTAATAACTATAACTGCACTGAGACAAATTCATTTGTCTTAACACAGAATGCCCATCAGTAATTGATTTAATATAGAAAAAGAGAGCGAAAACAACAACTGACTATGAGAACAATGAAATGTGTTTCTGAATGAAACAAATGGGATGCCTTTACTTTTGATACTGAGTATTGAGGACAAACAGTTTCCACAGTACTCTTGGGTTCTCAAAGAACACTTCCATTCCTCCTGTTTGTTGCTTTTTACATGTCACAGGTTTATGTAGCCTATGAAGTACTCTAGTGAATAACACTATTCCATATTTTACAATGAAAAGGCAAGGTTTGGAGATGTAAGCCAAAGTTAAACAGCAGGCAAACAGAACAAAGACTAGAAACAAGTTTTAAGATTTTTCTCATCATGCCAGCACTTCTTAGTCCATCATTAAAAAAAATTATATGAGGAATTAAATTAAAAGCAACAATGTATTGCTTATCTTTGAAAAATTGGTATCTGCAAACAGGTGGCATTTGGTAAGGAAGACACTCATCATCACCTTCCTGGATTACTACAACAACTTAATCTCCCTACTTCTATCTCAATTGATCTTCTATATGAAAGATGCTATCTTTCTAAAACATAAACTTGGCTGGGTTGCTCGTTTATTTAAAAGTCTTCTTTGGCATAGGATAAAGCCCACACTTCTTAGCAGAGCATTTAAAACCCCTTAAAAATTGATATTTGTCCTTCCAATTGAACTAAGTCCATAATGATCTTAACTATGATTTACAAGGACTTATGTGATAAAACTCCTTCCTTACTGTCCACCCCCAGCCTCTCTGATCCCACTTTATTTTTCTCTATTTTTTTGAAATAGGGTCTTACTCTGTCACCCAGGCTGGAGTGCAGTGGTATGATCATAGCTCACTGCAGCCTTGAATTCCTAGGCTCGGGTGATCCTCTTGCCTCAGCCTCCCAAGTATTTGGGACTACAGGCACGCACTATCATACTCAGCTAATTTTTCATAGAGATGAAGCTTGCTATGCTGCCCATGGTGGCCCTGAACTACTGAGCTCAAGTGATCCTCCTGCTTCAGCCTCCCCAAGTGTTGGGATTACAGGTGTGAGCCACCGCGCCCAGCCACTGATTCCATTTTCTACCACTCTGACTCTCACTCACTCCACTCCAGTCACAATGGCCTCCCTATCATCCCTCAAAAACATGTTGATCATAGCCATGCCCCAGGGACTCTGCACCTTCTGTTCTTCTTGTCTTAGAATACTCCTCTCCCAGATATCTAATGGTTTGGTCATCACTTCCTTTAAGGTTCTGCTCAAATGATTTCTTCATACAGAGGACTTCCCTAATCATCCACTTCTTTCCTCACCCCTTCATCCTGTTTATTATTCTTCAAAGCACTTATCACCATCTATATTCTATATATTTATTTGCTTATCTCTCTCCCAGACTAGAATGTAAAGTATATAAAGGCAAGGACTTTGTTTTATTTCTACTTTCTAGATTAGGGCCTTCAACATAGGTAATATAAGTATTTGCTGAAAATGAACTTATAAATTCCATGCCCTTTTACACTACATTCTACTGACACAAAAGGCTGCCTCTCCATGGCTTCAGGCCCTGTGCCTTTTGCACCTCGTCCCCAAAATTGGGCTGTCCTTTCCTCATTCTAGCAAAACCTTCTACCTCCAGTCCAGCTCAAATCTGACTCTGCAGTCAGGTCTTCCTTCATCTCATCTCTATATTCTTGTTACACTTAATTTATTCTTTTATTATAAATTAACCCACTGCCTTTTCTGTCTACAATTAGCTCATGTCTTAAACCACATGTACTATGTTTATTTTCCTAGATAACGGTGAACTTCTAAAGAACAAAAACTACTATTCACCTCTGTATGCCCATGCCCTAACAATAAACCTAAAAGGATCTCAAGTTAGTATTTACTGAATCAATTTATTTTCTAAGTCTCTACTAGTTCTAGGGAATAAGAGTGTAGTGTCTCTCTCAGTGAGTCTGGTATCTGTCAGAAGGGACTATTAAAGTAGAGGTAGACAAAACTGATTGTAAACAAGGTTCCAAGACTGCTATGGTAGTGGGTACTACAGTGGATACTACAAGTGGGTACTATAAGTCAGCACAACTCAGGCAGAAGGCCAACGTGGGGTTCAGCTTATATAACTGACTACACTTGATGTAACATGTAATCAACTAAGATTTTAAAATGTGTTCTCGTTTATTCCTAAGGACTTCCTGGTCCTCACAGAACAGATGAAACACTGATAAAAGTTTTACACAAAGTCTCACACCTGTAATTCCAGTACTTTGAGAGGCAGAGGGGAGAGGATTACCTGAGTTCAGGGGTTCGAGACTAGTCTGAGCAACAGAGTGAGACCTTGTTTCTACAATCAATAAAAAAGTTAGCTGGGCGTGGTAGTGCATGCCTGCGTTTCCAGCTACTTGGAAGGCTGAGGCTGAAGAATGGCCTGAGCCCAGCAGGTGGAGGCTGTGGTGGAGACTCTGATTTAAAAAAAAAAAAGTTGTACACAAAGAACCTGGAAGCAGTGAATAGGTCAGCAGTTACACCCTCACATTCTGAAAGGTAGTATTTCCTTTTTTTTTGCTTTTTGTCTGAGTCTCACTCTGTCGCCCAAGCTGGAGTGCAGTGGCACGCTCATGGCCACTGCAGCCTTCATCTGCTGGGCTTAGGTGATCCTTTCACCTCAGCCTTCCAAATAGCTGGAACCACAGGTATGAGCCACCATGTTTGGCTAATTTTTTTATTTAGTGTAGAGATCAGGTCTCACCAAGTTTCCCAGGCTGTCTTGAACCTATGGGCTCAGGCAATCTTCTCGTCTCCGCCTCCCAAAGTGCTGGGATTACAGGCATGAGCCACTGTGCCCGGTGAAAAGTAGTATTTCTGTGACTACAGTTTATACTAATGAGATAATTACCTCCCCTGTAGATGTCATAGTTACCACAGGCCAAACCAAATCCCTCAAGTCTTAAGGTACTGGGGAAGATCTGTGAACAGGGTTTGACATAAAAAAAAGCTAGTGCCTATATTGGCTAACCAGTTTATAGTTTGAAAATTTGTCCTCAAACCCACCAATTTAGTCTTTCTGTCTCTGTCTGTTTCTCCTGTTTCTCTCTCTCTCTCTCTCTCCTTTCATCCCTTATCTTCCCACCTCTGTCTCTACTCTTTCTCCACTACTTCCTGTCATATTTTTTAAAAAGAAATATGTACTATCAGATTTACATAATAAAGTGTGCACTCCTTGAGCCAAATTCAGAAAGAAGGCAAAATGAAGGCTTTGTCTTGTGAATATAAGAGGCTTTCCAAAACCAAAAACTTCTTTAGTCTTCAAATATGGCAAATATCATGTTCTTACTGGTAGGTAGCTTCAAGAAAAAGACAACTATATCCTTAAAATAAAGAAGCTATTAAGATCTATTTTCAACAGAGTAGGGTAGATCTTAAGGCAGGAACAAGAAAGCACCAGCCTTAAGTTCTCCTGTGTAAGGAGTAAGAGGTGGTGGCAACCTTTCTCACCTGTGCTCAAAGTAGAAAAACAGCAGAAACACCTTAAATACATACAACAAAGATGCAATTTCATAAGCCCACTCTTTTTGTTTTGCTTCTAGGGGTCTGTCTCAATCCTAATCTTTGCCTTTTGTTGTTTCTTTTACATAACTCTAAGACCTTGAGATTTTTAATCTTCCATCTCTCACCTCTTAACCAATACATAAAACAAAAGAACAATTTTATTGTATATTTCCCATTACAATTTTTTAAAAAAGAGATGAGTTCATATTTACCACTAGAATCACTTTCCAAAGTAAATTAAATTACTAATTTGTGACCAACAAAAAGAAAAACACCTTACCCTATAGCACCATCTGACATTTACACAGCAGGCCTAATGTCAGAACTATTAAAAATATTTTAAAAATCCCCAACCCCATTCAAAATGCACACCAAAAAAAATCCAAGTTCAGATAAGGAAAACAAAACAAAACAAAAACTCACCGTTATCTTTATTTTCTTTCAAAAACCCATTTACAGCGCATTTGAATTTTAAAATAGTGTCATCATCAGGCACCTGATGCCCAACTGTAAAAATTTTTAAGTAAGGAATAGTTTCTGGCAAATCCTATAAAGCAAAACCATGAAAAAAATGTGTATTATTTCATTTGTAGGGAAGAAATTAAAGATTAATTAGAGGAGCCAGAATACAAGCCAAGAGATTATAATAAATTTAGTATATCAGCAATTCTGATAGAAGAGTCATTTTTTTCCAAAGTTGCTTCAACAAAGTATCTACTTGACTGTCAATAAAACTGCTGAATAAACATACGAAGCTGAAAGCAAATTCAATGTGAATGAATGCATATATAACTAAAAGTTATACAGATAGTTCTACTTAATATTTTACATTCCAAGGGCAGTGCCTTCATAAGGCAGCTATGATTTAAATAGAAGAGTAGAAAAGAGTCAGAAAAATCTGGATTTGAATGGTGAGATAGAGAGAATTCTGGACACTGTTGGGAACTGGTATTCTTGGAGTGAGAAGTAGTAGATACAGACAGAAGACAGAAAAGGTTCAGTGAAAATCCTGAAGTTCTGAGTTTAAATGGAACATATTAATGATGTATTAATATTTTAAATTACAAACAAATAAGCAAGCATATTTCTTAGTGAAAATTTTTTCATGTACACAGCAAAAAAAGTGATCAAAGATTTAAGATTGTATCAAAAAGACTCAGGAGAAGCTCCAACTGTCCAAAGATAGAGCCCCAATTTGTGCCTCAACAAGAATAACTGCAACGGAGTTCATAATAACGCAAAAAAATAAGTAAGTTACATTAAATATAACTGATCACCACTGGGGAAAAATTATTGAACCAACTCATTATTTTGAAAACTGTTAAGTAAAAGAAAATGATCATGCCTGTACAACTAACTGGGCAGTCAAATACTTAATGAGGGAAAATTTCTCTATATAGAAATATACTTCGCTAGCAAATAAAAAGAAGAGTGATACAAATCACCATTTTTTGGAGCCCCAAATGAATAAATGGATTTAGGCTTCAAACATCAATGACTGCCAATATTATTGAAAGAGATAATCACTCATTATAAGCCTCCTAATGGAAAAACACTTCATCACCTATGACTTTTCCTTGAGATAAACAAATAAATCCTAAATCTGATCAAGCTAAGTTAAACTACCAATTTACAGAAAACAAAGAACTGAAGAATATATTAACAACACATGGGGATGCAATCATCAAAATCTATATAGTATAAATTACCCATGTTCAAGGGGAGAAAAAAAAAAGTGGGAGAGACATGAGGGGAAACTATAGATTAAGACTTAAGAGATCTAACAACCAGTTGCTACGTGACAATTTGACATGACATTTAGGAGATAATTGCAAGTTTGAACAGTGACTAGATATTTAATATTAAAGAATATTTAGGAATAAAAGTCAATATTTTAAATACATACAAGAAACAGGTGAAGTTATATGACACCTAGGATTGCTTTAAAATAAGAGTGGGATGAAATAGAGGGGTATAGATGAAACAAAATAGTCATCAGTTGATAAATATTAAAGCTGAATGAGTTAATGGGTATACACTGAATATTCACAAGTATTATGTCTCCTTCTGAATATGATTAAATGTTGCGATAGTTTATTTATTTTTAATTGATACATAATGTTTATACTTATTTGCATGTGATTTTGTAACATGCATAAAATGTGTAATGATCAAGCCAGTATTTAGGATATCCATTACTTCAAGCATTAATCATTCCTATGGTTAATAACATTTCAAGTCCTCACTTCTACATATTTTGAAACATACAATACATTGTTGTTAACTACAGTCACTCTACTTCTACTAGCAAACATTAGAACTTATTCCTCTTTACCTAACTGTATGTTTTGTAACCATAACCAATCTCTCTTCATCCCTTCCCCACACACCTATATTTTTCCCACCATCTGGTAACCATCATTCTACTCTTTACCGCCACAAAATCAACTTTTTTTTAGCTCCCACATGTGAGTCAGTACATGCAATACTTGTCTTTCTGTGTCTGGCTTATTTCACTTAACATAATGACCTCCAGTTCCATCCACGTTACTGCAAATGACATTATTTCATTCTTTTTTATGGTCAAATAGTATTTCATTGAAAAAACATTCTACATCTTCCTTACTCATTCATCCACTGATGGGCCCTTAGGTGGATTCCATGTCTTTGCTATTGTTAATAGTGCTGGCAGTAAACATGAAGGTTTTACATGTATTTCTTTGATGTACTGATTTCCTTTCCTCTGGATAAATACCCAGAAGTGGGATTGCTGGATCATATGGTAGCTCTATTTTTAGTTTTTTGAGAAAACGCCATACTGCTTTTCATAATGGCTGTAATACTAATTTACATTCCCACCAAAGATTTCCCTTTTCTCTACATCCTTGCCTGAGTGTGGTAACAATTTAAAAACAAGAAGACTGGCCAGGCACAGTTGCTCATGCCTATAATCCCAGCACTTTGGGAGGCCGAGGTGAGAGGATTGTCTGAGCCCAAGGGTTCGAGAACAGCCTGGGCAACGTGGCAAGACCTCATCTCTACAATAAATAAAAAAATTAGCTGCGTGTGGTGGTGCACCTGTAGTCCCAGCTACTACTTGGAAGGCTGAGGTGGAAGGATCGCCTGAGCCCAGCAGTTAGAGGCTGCAGTGGCTGTGAGCATGCCACTCACTCCAGACTGGGTGACAGAGTGAGACTCTAACTCAAAGACAAACCAACCAACCAACCAAGAAAACAACACTATGGAAAATAGTTTGGGAGTTTCTCATAAGGTTAAACACAAAACTACCATATGACCCAGCAACTCCTCTCCTGCATCTGAAGGAACAGAAAACTAAGATTCAAACAAATAGTTGCATACCAATGTTCACAGAAGCATTATTCACAACAGGGAAAAACTGGAAATAATCCAAGTGTTCATCGACAGAGGAATGTTTAAAAAATATACTATATGTACAGAATGGGATAATTATTCAGTCATAAAAAGGAATAAAACTTTGACACATTATACAACATAAACGAGTCTTTGAAAAACATGCTTACTGAAATAAAACAGACACAGGACAAATACTGTATGATTCCACTTGTATGAGGTAGCTAAAATAGGCAAAAGAGGAAACACAGACTAAAGATTACCAGGAACTAGAGGTCTGGGAGAAAGGGAAAATATTATTTAATGGTTACAGACCTTTGGTTGGGGATGATGAAAAAGTTTTGGGTATACACAATGACCATGGGTACACAATACTGTGAAGGTACTTACTGCTACTTGATTCACCTCATTTGTGAATTCAAAACTTACAAATAAAGTGACAAATATTATGTTATGTACATTTTGCCACAATAAAAACATAAGAAAAAGAACTCAGTTCAAGTTTTAATTCTTCCTTTTCTGTGCCTACTTCATCATTTGTAAATTTTATTATTATTATTATTTAGAATTAGAGTCTCACTGTGACCCAGGCTGGAGTGCAGTGGCATAATCACAGTTCGATGCAGCCTTGACCCCTTGGGCTCCTGCCTCAGCTGCTTGAGTAGCTGGGACTACAGGCACCCGCCACCACACCCAGCTAATTTTTATATTTTTTTGTAAAGACGAGGTCTCACTATGTTGCCTAGGCTGGTCTCGAACTCCTGGGCTCAAGTGATCCTTAGCTCCCCAAAATGCTAGGATTACAGGTGTGAGCTGCTGTACCTGGTTGTAACATTATTTATGAGTTGTAATCATCTATCCTCTGAACCTAGCACAGAGTAGGCATTTATTAGGAGATATTACTACTACTGCTACTTCATTAGCACAGGGTTGTTGTGGGAATTAATTAATGTACAAGAAAAATACTTTTTAAGATGGCAAACTGCTATACTACAAATTAATCATACAAATATTAAAATAGTACAAACATTTGATGTTATTGTTTCCAAAGCCATGGAACTGGTCAGAAGAAAAATAATTCTTTTCCACTGACATGCTATATGGGGCACACAGAATATATAGGTCTCTGTATTTTATCAACAGATATTAGAAAAATAAATAAAAATTTAGACAACCGTCTTTTACCATGATTCTTGTACAAGTTTAGGCAATTGCTTAAAATAAGTACTAAAGACATAATAGATATTCCTTTCTTTCCTTTTGGCAACTAAGTATTACTAAGTCTTCAAAATATGGAATATGGAAAATTACAGAATTTCTTAAAAGCACACAGAGCCTATTGCCAAATATATTTCAGTTCATGTCTTCAACGTAAGGGTTCCAATTACCTCTGGTTTATAATAGCGTTGAGTATATGTTAAATCAATAATCAGTCCAAGTTCTTCCTTTTGTTCTCGGATTTTGTTAAAAAGATCCAAAGGGGAAAAGCATTCTTCTGGAGAAAGATTCTTTTCAAAACTCTGTCAGAGAAAATGAAAAATGAGCAAATGTATGCTTAAGATCCTATTTATATTATGCATTTATTCAAACCCTGTGACTGTAACATAGAATGAGATTCAAAGGAAAATTTCTACTCTCTCACAATGGAGATGGTATATTACAATCCTTTCTTCCAGAGTGAACAGAGGGAAATAAATAAGCTCACTTCTAACTTCTATCTATTTATTTTTGTTTGCTTTCTGTTGGTTTCTTAAACAGACTGTAAAGTCCCAAAAGATAGGGAACACACTCATTTTGTTCACCGCTATATCTCCAGCTCCAAGTGGAGTGCCTATCGTATTTAGTTCTTATAAATATTTCTTAAGTGTCTGTAGCTATGAAAAATTGATGTTATTGCTAAACATTCTTTTATGTATTATGCTCATCTCTGGACTTTGATCTAGCTGGCTATTCAAGCATCTGCAACATACTTTTAAAAAAATTAACTTTAGTTTGTAGAACAGTTTTAGGTCACAGAATAACTAAACCAAAAGTATCGATAGTACCCACATTAACTTTCCATTCCCCACCCCCAAAAAACCTCCTCCATCATCAACATTCCATACCAATGTGGTCCATTTGTTACAACTGGTGAACCAGCTTTGACACATCATTATCAACCAAAGCCCATAGTTTATATGATGCATGGTTCATTCTTTGTGTTGTACATTTTACATTAGGTATATTATACCCTCTAAAGAAACAAAAGAAATATCTCAGTTTAAGTCTTAATCCTTCCTTTTCTGAGCCTGTTTCACCACCTATAAAACTATTTATTTATTTATTTTTTTGAGTTGGAGTCCCACTCTGTCACCCAGGCTGGAGTGCAGTGGCACACTCAAGGCCACCTCAGTGTTGACCTGCTGGGTTCCTGTGATCCTTCTGCCTCAGTCTTCCAAGTAGCCGGAACTACAGGCATGGGTTACCATGGCTGGGTAAGTTTTGATTTATTGTAGAGATGAGGTCTTGTCAAGTTGCCTGGGCTGGTCTCGAACCACGGACTCAGGCAATCTACTTGCTTCGGCCACCCAAAGTGCTGGGATTACCGGCTGAGTCACTGAGCCCAGCCAAAATTACTTAATAATTATAATCATCTATCCTCTGAGCTTAACCCAGAATAAGCACTCAATAGGAGATTTAGTACTACTGCTACTCATCAGCACAAGAATATTGTAAAAATTAACTAAGTTAATGTATGTGAAACCCTTTTATGGGTTTTCATCAATATAGGACATGTATCTTCCCTTATAGTGTCTTACAAAATAGCTTCCCTGCCCTAAAAATTGCTTCAAAACAGCTTCACTGTCCCCTCCAAGACACTTTTAATATGGCTTGGTATCTGGTAGAGCTAGACATTCACATTCCTATCCTTATTCTTCTTGTTCAGAATTTTTCTGGTCATTTGTTTATTTTTCTATGAATTTTCTAATCACCCTAACTCAGAACATTCTGAGACGATGTTAAATGTATGAATTAACTAAAAAAGACTTGACAGATTTATGATGTTGAGTTTCCCATATAAGACTGTAAGTTTTAACAAGCAAATTAATTACAAGGCATACAATCGTTCCTGTCAATTTCTTGCAAAGACTTAGTGCTGATAAATCGTCATCTCCATCTATCTAAACAATAACCTTACATAAGACTGGGCGTGGTGGCTCAAACCTGTAATCCCAGGACTTTGGGAGTCTGAGGTGAGGGGATTACCTGAGCCCATGAGTTTGAGAACAGCCTGGACAACTTGGTGAGACCTCATCTCTACAATAAATCAAAAAACTAGCTGGGTGTGGTAGCATGTGCCTGTAGTTCCAGCTACTTGGAAGGCTGAAGCGGGAGAATCACCTGAGCCCAGCAGGTCGATGCTGGGGTGGCCGTGAGCCTGGGTGATAGAGTGAGACTCCAACTCAAAAAAAAAAAAAAATAAAAAAATAAAAATAACGTTATATAACTAATTTAAGTGAAGTCCATTTTCTAGGAAGCCGTCTTTCATCAACTCTGCCTGGACTCATTTCTCCCTCCTTTGAATTCCTAGATATTTCTTACCATATAATTTATTTGACACTATTTCATATTCTAGTGTGCTTGAAAAGTGACTGTCAAGTATTCAGGCTGCTTTTCCTTGGGTGATTTCCATAAAAGACAGGAAGTCAATGCTACATTTTGCCACCACATGAGGTTCATCTCCCTAACACTAGTGCGTCTACAGAAACTCACTGGGAGCCGTTACACATCTTCATAATCCCCTTTTATGGTACTTTAAATAACCCCAACACTGACTGAAATAACTTGAGTATACAAAGCTGAAAGAAGTCCTTAATGATGACACCATACAGGAAGGTTTTGTGGCTAAATGGAGGAGAAGAAAGTGAAGAGTCTTCCTGGTTTCTCATCTCTTGCTGATGTACTTTCAGGCCAGAGACTGAGCAGAGAACTTCTGAAAGCTCAGGAATCCACTCTTAGAAGCCATGGAGTAGGGACTTGAGTTAGAACAATAGTGTAGCGGAAGAGGAATACAGGTGAATATTCACAATAACTGCTAACGTGGGTGAGGAATCATTCATTCACTCCAAAAAGATTTGGTGTTTATTATACGTCTGTTATAGTCTGATGTTGTTAGACATGGATGTGAATAAGAACTATGTGTTTATCTTTCTAAAATGACTAGTGTTTAAGCCCAGAGATGCAGAAAAGCTGACATAAATGGTGAGTAAGAAAGCCTAATCTATGAGTCACAAATTAAGTAAATTCTCAATACATTCAAAGTAGACTTTTCCTGATACTAATCCATGCTATGCTGGGCAAGTTTAATAAGATACAATATTTATTTTTCACCTTTTCTTCTCATCTTTGTTATGTCTGTCAACTGCCTTCCATACCTATTTCTTTCCAAGTTTAAACAAAAACACAATCTTCAAAGTTACCATGCTGACCTGACCTGGACGCTCCAGGTCTTTTATTATTATTATTTTTTTGGTTGTGACATTGGAGAAAGGGTTTTCTACTGGCATTTAGTAGGTGAGGGTCATGGATAACAGATAGCTTGTCAAATACAGAATAGTGATACAAATGTGTACCATATCTTGAAATACTTTTAAATGTGCTAGTCAAAGTTAACCTATGTTTAAAAAAAAACTGCTCATATTTATCTTAGCCTTAGAAGCTAACATATTTCACAAATCAAAAATTATTTTTTGTACAATTTTAATATACATTGAATTTTCCAGGAGAGCAGTCACCTTAACAAGTCAAGACTTTGTTTTGTCTGGAAATTTTTGAAGAGCTGCTCAGTATTACAGAAATTACTACCAGTGAGGCATTATAGCCCTCCTAGACTAGTCTGCATAGGTAGTTCTCGCATTTATGGTGCAAGCAACTATTTCTCTATATCTTCTAGGGCAGTCATGTCCAAACATTTACACATGGAAATGCTTTATTACAAATTACTATTTAGACCTTATATTACAGTAAGGATTTTACATTAACTTTTTTTCCTTTAAAATCATGCATGGAAGTCAGTTACATGTACCTGTGAATTTCATTTCTGGACAGTAAAGACAGCATTACAAAGTACTTGCTATAAAAAGGGAAAATGGAGTATGATAGGTTTGAGAACCAGTGTTCTATGTGGTGAACCAGATTTCTGAAAGAATACAGGATTAGCTTTTGCTTACCTTTTGCAAAGGAACTTTGAAAGCAATGAAACGAGTCCCAGGCATCCGCTGTCCAATAGGGAGGTAGTCTTTCCACCTATTGGATATATTTTTTTGTTAGCCAAATTGGATGTTAGCCTTGTCTCCCTGTGTAGAATGAGACTTCTTGAAAACGGGAATCACAGCCTCACACAAGATGTCCTCTCTGCTTTTCACTTTGCATCGTGCCACTCCACTTATTCAACCTCACCTAGTAACAACCTATACTTCCTTCCTCCTTTTCCATCTTGAAAACAGATACAAGGCAACAAAACAGTACAAAGTTCTCCACAAATAAGGCACTTCTATAACCAGAGACAGCCAGGACTTACGTGTATCTGAAAAACCTATGCTAGTACCAAATATTAAGTTGCCATTAATACATACACACCCACTGAAATAATTTGAAATCACTTCACAGTTTTAGTCATCATGTAACTGATGCCATCAAAATAACCTGTAGAGAACTTGAGGTTCACAGTTTAAGAAAAAACCTGATACAAAAGGGACTGTGTACTTCACTTAATAATACCAGGAGTCACAGTGAAAAGTAGAAAAAGTCAGAATTAACTAGGGTTAATTCTGTATGTATGAAGCTTCGAGAGTGAGGACAAGAGTGGCGAGTTATGGGGCTGGAGAAGCCGAGGATCCCAGATTGTGGAGCCTTATGGTAAAACCCATAATAAAAAGTTTGTTTCTGGCTGGGCTCGGTGGCTCAGCCTGTAACCCCAGCACTTCGGGAGGCTGAGGCGAGTGGATTGCCTGAGTCCGTGGGGTCAAGACCCACCTGGGCAACTTGGAGAAACCTCGTCTCCATAATAAATCAAAAATTAGCTGGGTATGGTAGTGCGCACCTGTAGCTCCAATTACTTGGAAGGCTGAGGCAGAAGGATCGCCTGAGCCCAACAGGTCGAGGCTGCGGTGGCCATGAGCCTGCCACTGCACTCCAGTCTGGGCAACAGAGTGAGACTCCAACTCAAAAAACCCCACAAAAACAACAAACAAAACAGTTTGTTTCTGAGCATGCTTATGTGCAATATCCCAATTACAAGTAGGTTTCAATTTTTTATAGTGGTCTCTCTAAAAGATTTCTTGTTGTGAAGGATGGATTGGAAGGAAACAAGTATCAGTATAGGGACACCCGTTAGGACCCAACTGCAATAGGTCAGACAAGACCAGTATTACCGGGCTGACGCACAGAAGACAGATTCAAAAGACACTCAGAAGAAAAAATGAAGGGCCTTAATGAGGTGTGAGATGGGGGAGAGGACGGTCTCAAGGAGTAAAATCGGTTCACTGCACACGAGCAGAGTCTCAGAATTAATCACTTAACGTATGAAGGAAGATCTCTCAAGGGAGACCTGTTAGGAAGCAACACAGTGTGTCTGCTCTCTGAGCTTCGGAAGCAACACACACCAACTTTCCATGGAGGATCTCAGGGCGGTACTAGCGGCTTCCTCGACTCAGACCATGACTCACATTTTCTGTGCAACACAACTTAAGGGACTGGGGGGGTGGGGTCCATTGAGTTAAGTAAGGCGTGTCCCCAACACTACCAGTCCCGGCCGTATTTTGCCGAGAGCAATGGCCAGAACCTCTGTTAAAAGAACGAGGAGCAACCACCGGACATCGCAGACACCGGCCCTTCCAGCTACTGCGGGCGGCCCAGCGAAGGTCAACGCCTCTAAGCAAGGGGCGGCCGGGCCAAGTTCGAGCCGAGGACAGTCAGAGGCACAGCCACAGGACACGAACCCAGGCCCAGAAGCGACGGACTAGGAGGGCCAGGTCCAGCGACAAGACCGATTACCTTTCCGGGATGTGGTTTCCGCCCTTCCTCTTGGTTGAGGAGCACCCAGAAAAGTCGCGACCCCGGCCCCGGCCCCCGCGAGCATAGTGCCATTGACTCATCTGGGTCCCGAGAAGCCGCCCGCCCAATGCCAAGCCGGTCAAAAGCACCGGCCCAGCGATAGAAAGGCCAGGAAAAGACGCCAGACCGGCGAAACCTCCGCGGCCACCCACGCAGCGCCCAGAAGCCTCGCTACTGCGCAGGCGTCACCGCCCGTCGTGATGGCGTCACTACGCCACTTACTGAGTCGCTGGATTTGTAAACAGGACTTTAGTGGCTGCAGCGCCCCCATGCGTCGGACGTCGGTAGCATAGGTCGATGAGATCGTGTATTGTTATGCACTCCAGAATTCATGGCAGGAAAAGTTAAGCCTTCCTGTCCCCAGTTCCTTGTGTGTTTTTCCTGTTGTTTCCATGTGTGCTTGCATTAAATTTTGCATATTGTATATAAATATGTGCTTACACGTATATGTACAACTTCTACTTTTATACAAAAGTACATATCTTAAAAATATATCTTTTTTTTTTTTTGAGTTGGGGTCTCACTCTGTCGCCCAGACTGGGAGTGCGGTGGCC